ACTCCAGCTACAGCCTCACCAAGGCCAAGTACAATGGGAGAATAATGTCCTGGGATTTGCTTGAGAAGCATCTATGGATGCAAGCCAGCATTCTGCTCGCTTTACTAGCCGCAGCATCGCATTGCAGACTCATGGTCATCTTGTGGTCAATCGTGACCCCCAAGTCCCTTTCATCTGTAGTGCTAGCCAGCGTAACACTGCTGAGCCTATGAGGGTGCTGCAGGTTTTTCCTCCCAAGGTGGAGAACTTTGCATTTTTCGGTGTTAAACATCATCAGGTTCTTGTCTGTGCATTTCCTGAGCCTGTCAAGGTCAGCCTGGATCACCTTCCTGTCCTCAGGAGTAGAGGATTTACCCCAAAGTTTAGTATCATTGGCGAACTTGGCCAGTCCGCTTCTGACTCCAATGTCTACATCATTAATGAAGATGTTGAACAATATAGGCCCAAGGACAGAGCCTTGAGGGACCCCACTGGTCACAAGGCACCACAACGATTGACTTCAGTCAACCACCACCCTCTGGATCCAACTGCGAGGCTAATTCCCCAGCCAGCAGATCGTGGTGGACCCAAGGCTGCAGTTGGCCAGTTATGCAAAGAGGTGATCATGGGATACCAGATCAAAGGCTTTTTTGAAGTCAAGATTTCCAACATCAATCTCCTCTCCCTTGTCCAGGTGATGGATCACCTGGGTGTAAAAGGAAATGAGATTGGTCAAGCAAGACCAACCCTCAACAAACTCATGGTGGCTACCCTTGGGATGTTGCCATTGGCCAGTCTGTTGAGCATGGCCTCTTTAATTTTTTTTTTTTTTTTTTTCTAAGACCTTCCCCGGGATAGAGGTTAGGTTGATTTGCCTGTAATTTGCTGGATCCACTTTCCTCCCTTTCTTGAAGATAGGCACCACATTGGCCTTTTTCCAATCTTTGGGCACTTTACCAGAACGCCAGGAGTTCTCAAAGATCTGTGCCAGGGCCTGGGCTATGATGCTCGCCAGTTCCTTGAGTACCCTGGGGTATAAACTGTCAGGGCTGGCTGACTTCAAGGTGTCCAGCCTCTCGAGGTGTTCCTTCGTGGGGTCAGTGTTGATGGAGGGCAAGTGATCTCCCGCAGCCGGGCCTTACTGTCCTGTAATGGGCAGGGGCAACCCGTGGGACTGATGAAAGGCTGATGCAAAGTACCCGTTTAGGAGGTTGGGTTTTTACTGGGCATCGGTTGTCAGTTGTTTGTTCTGGTTTAGCAGGGGTCCAGTGTTGCCCTTGCTTTTCCTCTGCCTCCCCATGTATCTAAAAAAGGGACCTTTTTATTGTCCTTGATACTTGTAGCTAGTTGGAGTTCAGTCGCAAGCTTGGCTTTCCTGGCTTGCTTCCTGCAGGTCTGGACTATTGCGGAATATTCCTCTCCTTGGAAGTGGATCCCATTCTCCATTCTTTGTAGGTCTTACTTCTTAGCCGCAGGAGGTCCGCGAGTTTCCTGAAGAGCCAAGGGGGCTGCTGTGCCCTTTTGCTGCCTTTCCTCTGAGATGGAATGGCATTAGCTTGTGTATTGAGGATCACTCCCTTGAGGAGCAACCACATTTCCTGAACTCCCCTTTCCTTTGGGTCGTGGTCCCTTAGGGCCTCACCAACAAGCCTCCTGAGCTTGTCAAAGTCAGCTTTCCTGAAGTCGAGGACTTCTGTATTGTTGACCGTCTTGTCAGCTTTACGGCAGGTGGTGAAGGTGATCAGCTCATGGCCGGTGTCACCCAGCTTCCCATCAATTGTTAGGTAGTCGATTAGGTCGTCCCTGGTTGCCAGTACCAGGTTGAGCAGCACTTTACCTCTCGTTGGCCTGTAGACCTCTTGTGTCAGATAGAGGTCATCCATGCATGAGAGGAAGCTTTGCAACTGCTCGGATTTAGCTGAGCGCTCTTCCCACGAGATGTCTGGGTAGATGAAGTCTCCCATGACAACCATGGACCTGGAGCATGAGGCCTCAGCCAGTTCCCTGGCGAACTCCTGGTCAAGGTCTTGACTTTGGGTAGGGGGTCTGTAGTAGACTCCCATCATTGTGTCCCCTGTGCTGTGTTTCCCATGGATTTTAACCCAGAGGGTCTCCAGCTGTCCACCCTGGTCACCAATATCAGCTTGCAGGGACACGTAGCTCTCCTTGACAGAGAGAGCTACACCCCTGCCCCTTTTGTCTACTCGATCTCTCCTGTACAAAGTATAGCTGTTTATACCTGTGGTCCAGTCATGGGTGGAGTCCCACCAGGTCTCCATTATCCCTGTGACATGGTAATTATTTGCATTAAGCAGAAGGACAAGTTCCTTCTGTTTATTCCCCAAGCTCCTGGCATTTGTGTACAGGCAGGCAAGTGTCCCCTTGGGGGCTCTTGCCTTGCCCACAGATTGTACCAGGGCTGGGGCAGGGGTGGGCTCCCTAAAGCGCCTTGGTGTGCTGGCTTTGCAGTGGTTGCTCAGCGGGCTAGCAGTGGCGGTAGTCCCCCCCGTCCCCCGGTGGGCTTAGCTTAAAGCCCGGTGGAATAGGTCAGCCAGTCTGGCTGAGAAGAGCCTTCTTCCCAGCGGAGAGAGGTGGAGGCCATCCCTTCCCAGCAGCTAGGGTCTATGGGGGGAAAATTGCAATTGGATTATTAAATTTTAACATGTGGAAGTAAATGCTTGGTGGCATGGGTAACCTCATTGCTGATGCTTCGAGTAAGGAGAAGTTCTATTTGCTGTGCACTTATATAAACTCTTTTTGCATGGAAGAGAATCACATTTTATGCTCGTGACAGTAGCAGGATACTTGGCATTTGGAGAAAGCGTTCATTGATATGACGACCCGATTAGCCTAATTTTGATTCCTGACAAATTAGAAGTCTAACAGTTTTCCAAGTTTGGAGGGATTCTTCCTAAAGAGACAGGTTTGTAATGTACAAAGGTGACAAAGGATAGGTCAGTGTGGCATGTAACTTGTCCTTTCTTGCTTCAGTGTATAGAAAGGAGAGCCATATGTTGGGACAGGGTTATATAGGCCTTGTTATTCAGCGCATTTACAGTACGTATAGGGCCTTAATACCACTGCGTGATTCTCTTGACCTCATAAACTACTTAAGTAATGCATAAGTAGAATACTACTAGTAATGAGATGACAGCATCCTTTTATCTAAACCCCTTGATGTATAAGTCGGTATGAATAGTTGGAAAAAGAAATGCCCTTTTTGCTCCTCCTTATTTGTGCCGCAGCATCTCTCTACAACTCCTGTGGGGTCTTCAAGCCCAATATAGGACTGTAGAGTGTTCATTTAAATGAAAACCACAGACTCAGGACTTAAACGCACAAATCTAGCTAGCACTTACATCAAAGACATTAAAATGGAAATGAAATTCTTCTATAGCAGGAGGTAGGAGTGATAGAAGCCTTTGGCTGGTCAGAATATAAAATTTGTTTTAAACCCAATTTCTGCCCTGTGCACAGAAGTACCGTAAGTCTCAGTGAACTTCCATCCTTGAAGTGGCAACCATGGAATTCCATAAAGAAATTATCACTGAGTGCTGATATTGGATACCAAAAGGATAAAATGGCCTCCTGTCACTCACTGAAGTGTGAATGTGTTTCCATGAATTTATAAATCTGATTAGCAGAAGTTTCAGTCCTACCTTAGCTATGATCCTGTATTTTGTTAACTTGGGTGTTATGTAAGATTCTGGTCATCTTAATTTTTGAGAAACAAATGTTTTCACTTTTTATTTGGAGAAACTTACTTCTTTTTCCCTTTCCTTAGTGATCTCTCATGCTGAGGTTGAGGGGTTTTTTACTTTTAATGTGTGTTCTCTTTGTGGGATAGGTTAATACCAACTAAAATGGTTCAGCACTCTTGCCTTAGCTATACCATATATTTTTACCAGTAGCAGCCGATCAGATATGGGTTCTTAGCTATTTTGTGACCTGTCTTTTCTGAGTATATGGTAATTTAATATGATATACCTTTATATTTTCTATCTCTAACATGAGTACTTCTGTGGTCTATAAAGTGGTAGCTATGAAATACTATTAAGCTTTTATTTTGTGTTAAGAATTTTTTTTCAGTTACGTAACAGAAGTCTGGTGATAAAAGGTACTTTATCAGTAAACTGTATTAGCTTAGCATCTTTGGGATGACTCTCGTTGTTTCAGCAAGATTGTTTTGTGCTGCTTTAACTTGTTTTGTGAGTAGCATTGATTCACTGAAGCATTTCAAAGCACTATCTGCCAGCACAATTACATTGAGAGCCAGCATGTCTATGGCACAGCTGTTTTACCCGGGGGGGGGGGGATTGTATCCTTGATGGACATAATTCTATATCTGCAGACATATAACTAGCTTGGCTTTTGGATTTTGCTTGACAGGATATTTCAGTAGGAAAATAACAGATGTGTGAACTTCAAGTTGGAGCAAAGATTGAATGTATGGTACAATTTCAGATGGAGGTAATTTTGTTCTGGTGGCATCAACATATTACCAAATTTGGTGTATGGCGAGTTGGAGATTTTTTCCTAGATGTTTCTCAGCCATGCTCCAGGGTGAGAGAGAACCTGATGTGTAAGAATACTGAAGCTGTAAGGTCAGGCCTGTAGCACTTGCATACTAGTGTAGTTTGGTTTACTGTGGTGGGACTACATCAGCTGAAAATCTGGCCTGTAACTTTTTTTTTACACGTGGTATTTCTTACAATGATGGCATCTTAGTGGAAGGTTTTTACTGTCAGGCGGTCTGATATGACACTTCACTAAGCAATAGCCTAGGAAAGAAAAGTTTCCAAACTGTGAAGAAAACAATATATTAATTTCTCGTTTTTTAAATGTGAAGCTAATAAGAACCTGATCTGCCTTTAAAAAAAAAAAAAGCCAAATTACTTGTTCAGACATTTTTTGCAGTCTGTAAGGGGATGGGTGGCTGATATCCACATAGGATTTAATAAGGATTGGGAATTTCTGAAAACTAGCAAAATGCCACTTTTTTCCTTTTTTTATTTCTTCAGAGCTCCGTTGCACCCCGGGGCAGTTTGCTTGTCGCAGTGGTACCATCCAGTGCATCCCTTTGAACTGGCAGTGTGATGGATGGCCCACCTGTGAGGATGAGAGTGATGAAGTTGACTGTCCAGGTAAGTAGAACAAGAACTGTTCTCGGAACTGTCCCTCTGTGCAAGAGTGCGGCACTGATGCCTGTGTGAGTCTGGCTTCATAGTTTCTTGGTAGCATGTTTCCCTTATAAAGTTTCCTATTTTGTGTGTGTGTGTGTGTGTGTGTGTGTGTGTGCAAACATTGCCACCAATTTCTCTTGGATCTAGATTCTTGCAGTTCATGGCAGGCTGTCCTAGATGTGAAATGAGTTTGGAGACTTCTAATGCTTAAGGGACAGGCTACTTTTGAGGAAAAAAAAAATACCACTGCAGTTGGGTCAATCTTGTAGTTTTGTCTGCAGCTACATTCTGAATTGGCCTGTTACCCTTCTATTACCCAGACTGAGTTGAGTCACGTCAGACTGCCCGGTGGAACTTGTCATCTTGCTGCCTGTGATGGATCAGTTCTCTGCATAAACAAAGGATTCATTCTGAGAGACAATAAACCTCACATTTGGCCCTACTGTATTCAGACAGAGCCATATTTTTCAAGAGCTTGGCACTTGAGCAACTTTTTTCCCCTTGTTTGGTATTGCTGGGTGATGAGCTCTTTTGAAAATCAGGTCTCATTTGGAAAACTGACTAATACAGGTCTTAATGGATACTTCTACAGGGGAAAATGCTCAGAATTTTCTGTTGGCATAGTGAGGCAGAAATTTGGAAATAAGGTTTAGAAATACATTTATAGTATGAACTCAGTTGAAGCCTGTCTCTGGGATTTTGCTTAAGTCTTGCACACTTCAGGGTTTTTTTCTCAGTTTACTGATTCAGATCTGTAGCTAATGAAGTGAGCTGCTGCTTATCTGCTCATCTGTGCTCTGGTATCTCAGTTTTGTAGCATTTATAGTATTTCAAATATTGAAAAGTGTGATAGAAGTAGTCCCTCAAACTTGAGTTTGCTGTTTCTTATCTTCCATATCTATAGAAAACACCTGACTTCTTTAGGCAGATGCAACATTAACAAATGTTGAACTCTGGTTTTTGCCCATCTCTGCTGTCTTGAATAGTTTATTCAGAGTTTCAGTGGTCTGTATCCACAGCTATTTTTGGAGGTTTTTGTGAAGTTGGTTTATGGAAGTTTCCAAGAGGGTGAAATCTATTTTACTTCCTTCTGTGTGCAGATACCTTTGTTGGGTGAAACTTTTGTTTCATTTTTGTATTTGCCCTGTTGGCTTAAAATAAACTCTGACAGTAAACCTGGTGCCTGTCTGCAGTGTTTCATAGTTTCATCGTTTCTAGGGTCGGAAGAAACCTGAACAGATCATCAAGTCTGACCCCCTGCCATGGCAGGAAAGAGTATTGGGGTCAAACGACCGCAGCAAGGTGTACATCTAGCCTCCTCTTAAAGACCGGTGGGGTAGGAGCCAGCACCACTTCTCTTGGAAGTTGGTTCCAGATCCTAGCCGCTCTGACAGCAAAGTAGCGTCTCCTGATGTCTAGCCTAAATCTACCCTCTGTGAGTGGCCCTCCTCTGGACCCTCTCCATGTTGTCCACATCCCTCTTGAAGTGCGGCGCCCAGAACTGGACGCAATACTCCAGCTGCGGCCTGACCAGTGCCGCATAGAGGGGGAGGATCATCTTCTTGGACCTGCTTGAGATGCATCTGTGGATGCATGACCAGGTGCGGTTGGCCTTCCTGACTGCCTCCCCACATTGCCGGCCCCTGTTCATCTTGGAATTGGTAATGACTCCAAGATCCTTTTCTGTCTCTGTACTGACGAGGAGGGAGTTCCCCAGCCTGTAGGTAT